ATCATTTCTGACAGTTATATACTATAGCGATCAAAACGGGAGTGATAACTAGCCCAATCACGATTCTACCGTGATATTGTGCGTTCAGTCAGATAAATTCCAGTGACATTTTTGTACACAATGGCACTTCTGAGGAAAACAACCTTTGAAGTTTTACGAGAACTTACAACCATCGATGACAACGAGTCTGGAGACGAGAACGATTATGATGTTGATGAGGACTCCATCTTCCATGAGTCAGCAGAAGATCACAGCAAGTCTGATAGTCAAATGTCTGATGATTACACTCCATATGAGGACCCTAGAGAAAGTGTATCAACCGATTCGGTATCTCCTGGTGAGCTACACTTATCGAAAGATGGTAGCACGTGGATCGCAGTGGAGTTCGAAACATCTGCTGTTGGTAGGATTCCATCACAGAATGTGTTTAAGGCTAGACTAGGACCAACTCCCTATGCTAAGAAATGTGTGAAATATGGTGAGCTGTCGAGCACTTTTGACATCATAATCACGCCCCAGATGCGGAAACATTTTCAAGTATGTACTGAAGCTGAGGCCAAGAGAGTTTTAGGTGTCAGTTGTCAGTGGAGCGTAAGTCTTCCAGAGCTGTGTGCCTTTATTGGTCTACTTCACATCAGAGGCTTCATGGGTCTGAAGAACATGCCGTTGAATATGATGTGGTGCGATAGATATGGACTGCCTATTTTCAGGGAGACAACTGGCAAGAACAGCTTCAAAAAAATAATGAGGTTCCTCCGTTTTGACATGCGAACTACCCGATGTGAAAGACTGCTAACTGGTAAGTTTGCTTTGGTATCTGAATTGTGGAATGCATTCATTCGCAACTCTCAACAATGCTATGTGCCTGCGCAGAATCTCACAGTTGAGGAGCAATTGTTTCCCTCCAAAATCATTATTTAGTAAGGGGTACAATATCACATGTGACAACTTCTTTACATCGGCAGCATTAGGAGAAATGCTGGCCAAGAAAAACACAAGTATGGTGGGAACACTTCGAGCTAATAGAAAGGAAGTACCATCGATTTTAAAGCAAAGAAATAGAGAGCTGTTCAGTTCACTTATGATGAGGAATGAAAATAAGCACACATTAACATATTACCAGTGTAGAAGGAATAAGAGTGTTTTGGTTTTCAGTTCCCTGCATAGTAACTCTTCCGTTCAAGACTCTGGAAAGAAGAAACCCGAGACTGTGTTGTTTTACAACTCCACAAAGTATGGTGTGGATGTACTCGACCAAATGACAAGAGCACTCACTGTGAAGTCATCATCTCGACGATGGCCAGTCCAAGTCTTTTTCAACGTACTGGATTTGGCTGGCATAAATTCCTGGATAATTTAAAAGTGTTTGCGAAACTAAAATATCTCGCCGGTCGTAGCTGGTGCGTCTTTCGGAAGAACTGCTTACATGTATACATCACACAAGGTACGTGACAACGGGAATTACGACGAACCACTCAGCGGAGTCGGGAAGTCATGTGAACATTAAACATCGGCAGTGTCAGATTGGTTCCTGTAAAGGTAACAAATCACAAAAGAAGTGCTCTGTTTGTGAAAAAATAGTTTGCGGCTCATGTGGACAGATTGAGCGACTTATCACTTGCTTCAAGTGCAAATTGGAGCAGGTATACGCAATTGTTTACAATTTTTGAAAAGATCTAAACCTTAATACAATCATTTTTCTGTTACGGGTATGTTCTATACATTAGTTTTTAATAAATGCCGTGAAAAAATTCTTAACTGAAAGTCGGGATAAAAAAAATATAGCAGTGCGGTCATTTTGACCGGTCCCGGGTGTTCTAGGTATAACGGCGGAGCGGTCTTTCTAGTGTTAAAGCCACAGGTGAGGCATCCGTAACGCGCTGCCCAGCATCCTTCCTCTGTTTTGAAGCGGAGCCTAATGGTAAGGACTAGGATTTGTTCTTTATATCACTCTTTTTTCTGATGAATCGATTTTGGTTTTCCTCATTTGTTCAATCGTTGTCACCAGTCTTTCGTGTTTCTGCGATAGTTCATGTACAATCTTTACCAGTGGGATGACTATACATATTGCACGAAACCACAGATAATCTGGTTTATTACTGTGTAGCTTCAACCGGTTTTCTGTGAGCTTAGAACACTTGCCGAGGCAATTGCAACACTGGATTCCCACTCGTATGTTTTTTGGCATGTAGGAAAGCCACACGCTACTTTCATTCCAGTCGCCGTTGACTGGGCTTTTGATTGGTTGTTACGAACCATTGCGTCGACCGATGCCTTTCAGGTAAATGGCCGAGCGTGTGATTGCTTGTTTGTCCCCTGAGCGGTGAATTGGCTGTGTTTTCAAGGTCGACACGTTCGGTGCGGGACAGGGCTCTCGGGACAGTCTTAAGCGGCTGGGTCGTTCGCTCTTTAATCGCTCCGAGATGTAACAAGTAAATGAGCAATAAGGGACAAACTCCCCGATAACTGCTTCACTTAGCAGTCGACAGTTGTTGGTGATGGCTCGTCGTATAGATCTCGCCCGACTCGTAGCCTTACGGATTGCAAGCCTGTCTTATAATCCAATGGCGCGTTTTCGAGCTTGCATAGGGACCTGGAGACAATCGCAGTATCCTTAGCCCACGTGCGACTGGTGGCGGTTGCGCGACAGCGAAGCGTCGATACTGCGTACTGGCGTACTGCAGGGCTCTTCTTTCTCTCTCGGAGTTGGCTTTCGTTCGAGATCACAATTGTTGCTTTGTGGCTCGGGATTCGGAATATTTCGCGTGTTTCTGCGGGAACGATACGAAAACTACGATGCAGAGATAAAACCTGATCCACACAAGTTAGATCCGTAAAATGGAATGCATTAACTAGCGATGGTGAAGCTTGATCGAATGTGTGTAATCACACGTGTGTACTAAGAATTGTGACTTTAACTCCGATCTGAGTACGAGGTCGGAAATAACGCGACCAGCACGTTAATTCCAGGTGTAGCGTGTGATATCCACTTTGTTATCAGCGCTTATCTGTAGTGATAGGTCACCATTCCGTGTGACAACGTTCGATTTTAATATTTGAAGCACTGTCCAGTACATCATGCTCGCCTTTCCATCCGTCATATCTACATCTGCGGTTGCTCGGACAATGGATACAAGTCACCGGATGCCATTGGAATTCAACCGAAGCCAAAGCACACTTGGATGTTCGACTGGAAGACAGAATCAAGTCGGTGCACACTATCATTTTCAACGTCACGCTTGGAGTAGGCTATGCCGGTCATCATTATACACGTCAGCTAGAGGTGGGAAAACACCTCAGCTACTGTGCCGCAAAAAGAAAATAAATACAACAATTGCATGCCAGCTGAGCTACCAGCAACGGATAGGCATCGTTCCAGTAAACTACCAGCCGGCTACTAGGCAACAAGAAAAATTATTATGTTTTACTCTACGAAATGAGATCGTAGGTGGAGGGGGAGGCTAAAAGCGATAGAGAGTGACAAAGAAACTCACAGCAGGAACATCACTGACATCGGCTCCTTGCCATGTCAGCAAGTGTATGCAGCCAAGCGTGTTCACCGTCTTTTGGACCCCAACCAGGGAGCCGTGAAGCTCCCACCGAGGCCAGCTCAGAAGTGAGGGCCTTCATTCCTCTAGACCATGTCATCGCTTGGCCGCCCCTCTTCTTTTTCCATCCACACCTCCGGTGAGCAAACAACGCACGTCGTGGAAGTCGGTGGGCTGGCATACGCAACACGTGGCCCAGCTATCGGAGCCTGGTGCGTGAAATGAAGGTGCTGAGTGGTTCGTTTCCTTTTTCTGTGCTGTGAACAAGGCGTCGAACACGCTCGTTACACACGCGGTGTTCCCACCAGATGTGAACCAAACTGCGAAGGTACCAATAGTCGAACGTAACTAGCCTCTTTATGTCCGCCGATCTTAGGGGCCAGTTTTCGCAACCATGCAGTAACGTCGAACGTACCGCTGTATTGTACACTCTACCCTTCAGGGCAAGAGTGATGTCGCGCCGGCGCCATTGGTGGCGAAGGTTAGCAAAAGCAATTCGAGCTTTTGCTATACGGTTCGTGATCTCGTCTTCGATCCCAAGGGCGCTGATACAACTTCCCAGGTAATTGAATTTTTTAACGACTTCTAGCTGGTCCCCACCAAGGGTCAGCGTAGGATGCCGTCCGGACCAATCTTGGAGGAACGCTTTGCATTTCGATGGTGCAAAGCAAAGCCCGAAGCGGCTGACAGCCAGTGCTAATCTGTCCAGCGCGGCTTGGCACGTCTGGGAGCTGTCACAGATGAGGGCAATGTCGTCTGCATACTCCAAGTCAAGAAGTCGTTCTCCTGGAGCAGCTCCACAACTTCTAAGTCATGTCCTGTAAATGCAAACTCCATGACTTCGTCAATAGCGAAGTTGAAAAGGAAAGGTGACAGTGGGCATCCTTGTCTTACACCGCTGGAGATATTCAAGGGTGGCGAGAGCCTGCCGTAAGCCCTCACTCTGCCCGTGCTACCCTCGTATAATGTTCGGATAATATTTACATATTTCTCAGGTACACCTTTCCTGAGTAGACAATTCCAAAGGGCACATCGATCAACCGAATCGAAGACACCTTTGATGTCGAGGAACACGACAACGGTGGGCCGCCAATATGTGTGACGATGCTCCAACAACTGACGCAAGGTGAAGATGTGGTCGATGCAACCACTATCCTGGCGGAACCCGGCTTGCTCCTCGCGAATCCGCCTATGCCAGTAGTGTCTATCCGATGGCTTGTGTATTCGCGTTCGAACTCCTGCTTCTACCTACTTTACATTCTTAAGCCTCTCTTTCTAACCCCTTTCGAATTACTCTTTTATTTATATTTCCATTTCCCGCTTTATTGTTATTCATTATTCTTGATGTGGTAATTGAATCCGCTGCACCACGATACTGATGTTATTGGCTGTGGACGATGACTTAATTTCATTCGAATATATTACGTTTCCGTTTTTCCTTCTCCAATTCTAGATTCACTGATGGTCGAACCTCATGGGTCTGTTGTTTATCCTGGCCAGTCTGGGAGCAATGCATCCCCCTCTGAGTTAAAGGGTATTCCAAAAGCGGCTTTTATGGAAGATGTCGACGAGTACATGAAGGCGAATAATTTTACTACGCTGATGGACGCTGGACGTTCGTTTGAGGAATTGTATCAGAAATACAAAATGATTGAACAAGCCTTACTCCAACGAAAGATCCGTTTAATGCAACAATTACCTGACATACAGAAGACATTGGCAGTAGTTCGGCAGTTGCAGAAGAAAAGTTCCGATGTGGATGTTACATTCGAGGTTTCTAGTCAGTTGTTTGCTCGTGCACACATTCCCAAAGCCGATCGGGTCGGTTTATGGCTGGGGGCCAATGTGATGCTTGAATACGACCTGGAGGAAGCCGATAAAATTCTAGTCGAAAACGAACAGTCCGCGAAACAATCTTTACTTGATGTCGATCGAACACTGGAGTATTTGAAGGAGCAGACCACCACAGTCGAAGTCAACCTTGCTCGGTTGCATAACTTATCCGTGAAGCGTGGCAAACAGAACAAAGCCGGAACTGTTAGTACTTGATTCCTTCCCATGTTGTTGAATGCGCCACCCATCTACCAGTGTTAATGGTCATTTATCTCTGAGGTCACGGATCAAAGTGTATTTTGTTCTACATGAACCGTGATTTGGGAACCGATTACATTTGTGTTCACCAAGTATTGTTTGACTCACGAGTCCGCCACCCCCTTTTGTCTATCAGTTGTATTTTACATTACCCATAGTCCGCACGCGTTCTGATAAAGTGTATGCATGGATCCTTTTTCTTCTTTTTTGTCGACCGCTGATAGAAAGCATTACACGCCTGTTTTGTACTCCGGAGGTAACCGGTTCGAATCCGTGTCGTTTCAGGCGGCCTCGCGGTATATTCAGCCCACGCGCAACTGGCGGTGTTCGAATGGCAGCGAAACGCCGTCAGGATTTGCTGGCGTATTGCTGATGCCTTTTTATTGTTTCTTTTAGAATTTCACATTGCCGTTTGTTCGGTGAATATCATCGTCACCACACACATGTTTCGCGCGTGTGCTGCGGTACCTGCTCCGGTCGGAAGAGTGAATATTCGGTGTTGGCCGATCTGCATCGATCGCGTGCTTGTCGGAGGAGCTGCGGTAATGCGACCGCGGACAATTTTTTGGTCATATGCATTGATTTTTATTCTAAATAACTTTTCTCATCAGCTGTGTCACTCGAACCACTTCTGTTGGCATGGTAATGGAGCCTCGCATGGGTGCTGGCCAGCGTAGTATCTCATTTATTCGGTTAAATGGGCAATCGCTTATTCTCTGGGTTGTGTTCATGGAGGTGTACTTAAACGACTCGGTTTTATTCCTAGTCAATATGAGTGGTTTTGATTGCCACCTCCCATTTTGTACATAAACATTGGGAGGATCGAAGAGTCTAGTGCCCAAAGTTCATAGGAGAAACATATTCATAAAGCTGCTCTTTACATGTGCCATTACTGCGCTGAGAAATACTCTCATGCGCTCCAGCTCCAGAACTCGTAAGCTACCGCTGCCCACATTGAAGGGATCTCACTCTATCAGAGCCAATTCGTATGTGGCTGCGAGCAAGTTACATAGGCATGATCCACAAAATTCCGGAATAATGAACGTCCTTACCTGGGCCTAACACGGGATTAGGCAGCAATCGTACGCGCTCAAGCTGCGCATCATCATCATTATCATCATCATCAACAGCAGTACATCAGCCATTTGAACTGATGCTTCGCTGCCATACAACCATGAGGACCTATGAAATAAAAAATAAGAAGAGGGAGAGAAGGGGGACTTACCTAAAAACCTTAATGCCCTAAGCAAACATTCAGGGTCAAGGCGCCTACACCTTGTGTAGACAAAATACCGTCACAAACAGCTGGCTATCGTGCAAAGATAAGGCGGCATCGGCGAGACAGCTTCCTTGCGGCTTTCACTGCCCCGCGTCATAATCAGCCATTACCCCGCAGATAACTCAGCAGCAAACGTACTTTAAACAGGCAATCCGATTAGGAGACAGCAGCAGACGCGCCACTGGTGTCGATTGCCAGCCATGTCCTGTAAAGTCTCGAGCCAAGCACAAGGCGAGTCATGTGGACCCCAGCCCGGAAGGCGAGATGGACCAACAGCACCTAGTTTGGTCATCAGTGTCTTCATTTCCCGTTGCCAAGTCAACTACTGTCCACCGCGAGCCTTGAGCCAACCGACACCTGGCAGACTAAACAAGGCCCTTCTAGGTAAGCGGTGACCAGGCATGCGTAGCACGTGCCCGAGCCAACGCAACTTATTCAGTGCTATCTGTTTCTCTAGGGAGCTAGCATGATTATCACTACCTAGTACTCGACAACGCACATCATCGTTGCCGACACGCTACTGCCATCCGACTTCAGCAATGCTTCGCATACAACGATGATCAAAGACTTGAAGGCGCCTCAGCTCTTCAGACCGAAGGGGCAAAGTTTCACTGCCATACAGCAGAACGGTCTTCACTGTGGCCTTGTATACCCGGCATTTCAGACGAAGGGAAACTCCCTTCTGTCGCCAAAGATGACGCAGGTTCAAGAAGGCAGCTCTGGCCTTTGCAGTGCGTGAGCTGACGTCAGTTTCTATGCGCCCATCATTGCTGATGCAGCTGCCAAGATAAGTGAATTGATCAACCACCTCGAGTTCCTCGTTAGCAAGCGTCAAGGGGTCATTAAGTGGCTGGTGGTCCTGCAGCAACACTTTGCACTTTGGAGGTGCGAAGTGCATGCCAAATAATGGGACCACTCTGGATAGGCTATTCAGGGTTGATTGTGCCGCCTCAACATTGTCGAAAAGCAAGACGATTTCGTCCACGTAATCTAGATCAACTAACCTTTCACCAGGTAGCACTTCAACACCTACATCGTGAGATTCCACAAGGGAACACTCCATGATAGAATCCACGACGAAATTGAACAAAAACGGGGAAATCGGGCAACCCTGTCGAACGCCACTTGTAGTCGAAAAGCTATCCGATAGGGCACCATAGACCCTGACGCGGCCTGTAGTGTTCGAGTATAGAGCACGAAGGATGTTCACATATTTCGTGGGAACACCTTTCCGCGCAAGTATTTCGAACAGAATCGATCGATCGACTGAATCGAACGCACACTTGAAATCGAGGAACACAGCTATTGTCGGTCTGCGGTATGCGTGGCGCTGCTCTAGCACCTGCCGCAAAGTGAATATATGGTCTATACAGCCACGTCCTGGGCGGAAACTAGCCTGCTCTTCCCTAATCCGAGATTCCCGTTCCGCAGTGAGGCGACGAACGATAATCGAGGCCAGTAATTTTGTCACAACTGGCGTTAGGCTAATACCCCTGTGGTTCGCACAGTCTGTGCGACTGCCCTTCTTGTATATTGCCACTATAATCGATTCGCTCCAATTAGCCGGCACACTCTCTTCGTTCCAGATACGTTCGAATAGGGAGGTCAGTGCTTTGCAGAGGACCTCACCTCCATCCTTAAATAGTGCATGTGGGAGGGAATCCGGGCCAGCGGCACGAAAACGATTGAGGGCTGTGATCGCGTTTCGGACCTCGACCTCCGACGGAGGCTCTAAACTAACCGTCCATGGCTCGTCCTGCATCACCTGGGTAGGAAGAGGTCCGGGAGCAGGGGGCCAGCTGAACTGATGTTCAAAGTGCTCAAGCTGCGCGTTAACATGGGTATCGGCGTTCGAAATTGCTCGAACTACTGGCCTTTTCGAACAGTGGGCACTTGTTGGCGTCAGGTTACCAGATTGTGGTCAACGCAGCGTTCAACATTCTGTTGCATCTTACTAATCTCCATCTCTGTTTCGCTGAAGCTGTCTCGAGAAACCGGAATTAACCTGTACATCGCCTACAAAAGTAATTATCCGTCAACCATAGATTGCATTGGACTTGGGAGGCAAGACTTCCATTTTCCTTTCGTTTGTTTGCACCATTTAGCAACAGTATATAGTTGCAATTTCTCGTTATCCATAGTGAAGAGATGATACGAAATGCATGAATTTGCTGAAACTCGTCTTGTTGCTGCTGGTAGGTGATGCTGCCTGGCTGCATTTTCTGAGGAAGTCTGTTTCGTGGTGCTCTAGCTTTTGACCCAAAAAGCAACTGCAAACATGTACAGCACTGGAGTGCCTGACCTAAGGTGAGCAGTGACAAATCATCAAACAAAGACGATTTTATTCCACGACCAAAGGCAGTCTTTATCGCTACTGCCCAATCGAGTTGAGTTTATAACCCGTGTAATATTATCTGCTACCACTAATTTTCGAAGGAAGAGAGCCTGTTGGCTTCTTCCTGACATGGCGTACTATAACTGCAGTGGAGGATCACACAGTGTTACAGGAAGACCTGGACAAAGCGTACACATAGTCCATCAAGAACATGCTGCATTTTGACTTTACCAAGTACAAAGTTTTCAGCATACGTCACAATAGTATGCACAAGAACCACCTAGAACCACAAATTTTACAGTGCGCTTCTCACGAGTGCGATCACGGCGTAATAGTTCAAGATGACCTCGGTTGTTTGAGGCAGCTAAGAAAGCGAACCAGTACCTCGGCCTTCTTCGCAGAGCTTTCGGGAAGTTTGACCCTTCAGTGTTCCCAAAAATGCTTAGTGCGTGCATGAGGCTGCACGCGGAATACACTGTTCAAGCGTGGCAACCCTGCCTCAAGCACCATCTAACCGTGCTCGATACTGCACAACGTAAAGCAACGAAGAGCGTCAGAGGTTTGACCAACCTCTCCTACCCACTCAGGCTGAAGACTCTCAAAATATACAGTGGGCGTTATCGGCGTTTAAGGGGTGATCTCGTAATGGTGTACCTGATCCCGAGAAACCCCAACTACCCATGTCATTCCCTTCTAATAGTCAGTCAAAACACGGCGCTAAGAGGTCACCAGTTTAAGCTGTTCACGCAGTACAGCCGCCTGGAATGTCGGCGAAACTATTTCTCCTTTCGAGTGTCACGGCCTTGGAACGCCCTCCTGGAACATATAATTAATGCACCCACCCTATCCCTTTTCAAAAACGCCTTGACGAAACTCTGTTACCTGTACACTACGTGCTATAGCCCATGACCACCAGATGCTGGCACTAATGCACAACAGACATTTTATAGTGCCATAACTCTACTCGAGAATGAGTCACTCCGAACGCCTTGCACGAAATTTGGTAAACTCTGCTACTATAGAAGCTGGATTTCCGTATCCTGTCGACCCAAAATGGTTGCACACGAGTAAGTGTTGTCCTTGCTATTTTTTATTTTTTTCTCGCCTATGATGTGATCAATAACCACTCCCCTGTTTCTTTGTGTGCGTACATTCTCATTTCAAACTCCATTTATACGGCAATGCAGTTAAATCTGTAATCGCCCGAAGTGACGACTCCATTATCCCTTGATCTATCTTTTCTCACTCTAAACACCCTACGGGACATGTCAAACACCTGCTTTTTTACCCGTTATAAATCACTGTTCATTGTAAGGAAGATGGGACTGGATTTGCCTAACCACTGGCTTATTTAGTTCGGAAGGTGTTCGGAAAACCACCCAACATGTCTCATTGCGGCGTGGAAGTACACAGGCTATCGTACCACGATATGGCTCAATTTCGCCGTGACGATAGTTAGTTTAGCGACATAGATTATTCATGATGTACTGTATGTCGATACAAAACAGTCAGGTCGTCCTCTCGAGCGATAATACAAAAGAATCTGAACGTAATGCGAGAGTGCTGTTCAGCGAACCTGGTCTGATCAGCCTGTACATGTGTCATTCAGAACTGTTGGTGCAAGCAGACTGAACTCCATTAAGGAAAAATTTCGGTTCCCTTTACACCTAGACATCAGCCATATATTTGCTCCGAAAATAAATCATGCGTTTGTGATGATCAATTCACCGAATTGTCGGAATGAATCCCGGTCACGGAAGCCCTAGAGAGAAAGCAATAAATACAAATGAATTGCAAAGCAAGCATTGAGTGTGGAATTGCAAAGCACAGCTCGGACTTGAAAATGGAAAACGCCTGTAGATGGTGTAGGAATGTTTATAAATAATGCCCATGGAAGAGTAGAACACAGTGTTGCAAAGAGATCTCTTTTCGGCA